GTAGAGGGGGTATGCTGTTTTACCTTGTGTGTCTGTCCTTAAAAAGATATCCTTGCAGTTTTTTTTCAGCAACTACTTGGTGCTGATCCTTGAAAGTTTAGCACTCTTTTTCTAGGCATGCCGTTTGGCGGGATTTATTTTTGTATGTGCCTGTTCAAATGAGAGTGTAAATTCACATGCAGAGCGAAGGGGGGGGGGGTGTATAACACTGTACTAATGAGCATTTGCTCAGACTTCTTGTTTGACGACAGATGTCAGAGAAATTCAAAGATAAATATTCTTTTCCCCTACATTTTGGGGCATCGCCTGCGTGGCGCAGTGGTCTGTCCTAGAATCGCGGACTAATGAGCTGGTCCTTACGTCGCAAGTTCAAATCTCACTGTGGGACAGTTGACACCGGTCCTTCAAATGAGGCTGTATAAATCGAGGCCCAGTGTTCTGTACGAAAAAAGATCCCTCACTGCTCAATGCCGAGTATAGGACAAAATTTGCAGCATCAGCAAGTGGTGGCGTCTTGATACAAATGAAAAATTGTCAAAAGGGACGTTAAACAACATACACAAAAATCTTTGAGGTATTTATTGCAACAGATTGCGAATAACTTCCCCTTAATATGCTTTACAGTGTTTGGAGTTAAATAACGTAGTGGAAAATATTATCAGCCCTGTTCGGCTGTCGTCTGGTAGAGAAAATATTTGCAGCACCCAAAAAAAAAAAAAGGAAGCGTAGATGTACATGATTATGAAGACTGAAGGATTATATTGAATTACTTCACAATCTACACTTTAACACTTTACAAATATGCCTAGACCTTCTAAATAACAAGTGTCTCTCATCTTGTTTATACAAAAATGTATTAATAAACTTTACAGTAATTAAATGATAAAGAACAATCAGTAATCAAGATCAATAGTCCATACACCAACACAAACTACGGAGCAAACTCAAAGCTCCAAATTAAAGTATCAGAGGTGGGATCGGGTGTCGGTGAGAAGTGAGCATCCACTGCCGACCGGTCTCACCCGCCATGTGCTCCTTGTCTTAATCGGGAAATATTTATTTTTTTTTTACCAAAAGATTGAGATAAAAGAATAAAAAAAAACTTGCGATATTGGGAATCATCTACATTTCAATGGTCAGGCATTTTATCGTTTTTAAAATGTTCCAATGAAAACATGAAATTTATAGGTTTGTTAATAAATCCGTAAATAATCCGCTTTTACATGTAGCTGTACCAAAGATATTTGTGAAAGACATAAGGAAGCTATTATTGACAAACGTCGCATTGGGGTTGGGTGGGGGGTAGTCTGAAATATCTGACGTTTTCCTGGCTTTTTCAAGATTTTGATATTAAAATATCAAAATCGTGAAAAAGCCAGGAAAACGTCAGATATTTGGGACTAGGTTGGGAAATTCAACATGAAGTAAACATGCATACGTTTTATGATCCAGAAAGAAAAGCAGAAAGGCATGTTTTTACAGAGATGTGTGTCAAAATACAGCAGATTGCTGGAATAAATATTTCTGTTGGAATACAAGGAATATCCGGAACGTATTTACGTGTCAAAGATAAGTTCTACTGGTTTAATACGATCAATCAACAAGAAAAATTAAAGAACGATGTATATAAAAAAGGAACATACCTCTACAAGGTTAAACTTCAGAATACAGTTTTCATTACTAACCATGACAGATTGAAAAAAAATGTCATGACAGAAAAGTACCTGTTTGGCTAAATCGATGCCAAAATCGTCTGCGAAATGGAGACAGTTGGAATCAACTGACACCTTTTGTATATGTGACAAACATGATTAAGGACGTCATATGACACAATGTGACGTATGAAATAATTGGTATTATGGAGTATGTGTCGCAATCACTCGAGATGTAGCAGATACCTTCAAGGCGTATATTTGTCCTAGGTTTCAAGGATATAAACATACTTTATACGCTGTGACTAATTTGTTTTTCTTGTTTCTTAATATATAATAGGTATGATTGAAAGCACTGTGGAGATTTAAGATAACGTCACCACAGATGAGGCTTATGTAATGTTCAAGTTTATGAAACTGACGAATCAGTTGAGGATTCATCAAGCTCAGACGAATAGTATCCACCATTTAAACGTAGAAGGCGTGATACAAGCAATGCGTATGCACAGGATCCTGAAGATGTCTCAGTTAGAAGCAGTCTTCGACAAATCCCGGGAGTCCGATGCCCGGGGCCTGGTAAAGTTAGCATCGGGCATGTGAAAATTACACAATCGCAAGCCCGAATTAGGGCATGTACACTTTTAAGCTCTTATTTTTCATTTATATCCGTCGCCATTTTTTACATGATCGGTTCGTACGATATTCGGATAAATCGAAGAACACATTAAATAAACCTTCGTACAACTTAGCCCATTCAATGATTTGAATCAAACAAACGTTTGTACTACTATGTTAAAATCGTACATGATATGAAAGCGCCTTACTTGCGTCGATGGCGCATGCAATTTCGCAACGATTCCTGGGTTGAAATATAGACTCGGCCCAACCTGCGAAGAAGGCCACACCGAAGCGCTCTGTTGAAGTAAATTCAAGACAACAGTAAGAGAAAAAAAACGATGCAGAAAGTTTCAAAGCCAGTGGCAAGTCGACAGACCTTGGTTAGTGTACAATGCCGAATCCGTCTTGATGTTCTGTGATTGGTGTAAAAAGAAGTCCATTCAAAGCTCATTCACCAGAGGATCAAATCATTTTCGTTTAGATGCGGTAAGAGACCATGAAAGTAGCAAGTGGCATAAACATTTTGCAATGAAACATTCTGTCAAAGATTCTGATAGTTTAGCTTCCAAAAGCCTACTGATGTTAAAACAAGCAGAATATGACAAACTTGTTGTAAAATTCCGCGCAGCTCATGCTATTGCCAAACACAACAGGAATTTCAGGGATTATAACTTTATCTGTATGCTGGACAGAATTAAAGGAATTGAAATTGGGGAGCAGTATACAAATGATAAGGCTGTAGCAATCATGGTCAAAAACATTGCAGCTGTATCAAGAGATGAGGTGTGTGACAAACTGAGAGACAGTCCATTTTTCTCAATAACTTGTGATGGTGTTACAGATTTTACCGGAGAGGAACTCGAAAATATCTATATACGAATATGCAATAAGAGAAATGTTGAGGATATGTATCTATACATTGAAAGTCCCAAATCAACATTAGCCTCAGACCTTCACTTACTATTCAGGGGGATATTTGATAAGTTTGGACTGTTAGATGTGTTCAACAGAAATCTCAGAAGTTTCTGTGCTGATGGGGCTTCAACTATGCAAGGTGTGTTCAGTAACGCAAGTTGAATTAAAGTTAAAATATTTTCTTTAATATTGATGTCCTAAATTTTGTTTAATTTTCTATGTAAATTTCAGGCTGCAAGTCAGGACTAGATGTTTTACTAAAAGAGACCATTTAGTTATTATGCATTGTCTTGCTCATCGAATTGAACTTAGCTTCAGGGATTGCATCAAGTCTGCCCAGCCCAAGCTTTATACCAAATGTGTGACTTTGTTGCTAGGATTGTATTATTTATACAGAAAAAGCCCAACTCAGAAGAAGGCACTTAAACGCAGCCTCGCTTCACTAAACGTGAGACAAATGTTGCCTACAAGAGTAGAAGGTACACGTTGGCTGCCTCACACACACAAAGCAATTACAGTACTTATCAACGGTAATTTTAGTTTGACTGTTTCTATATTATTTTTTTTAAATTATAACTTAGATACATATTTTATAATTGTGAAATTATTCTATAATTGTGATCATTCATTTGTTTGAAAATTCCATAATGTAACTAAGTCTCCTAAAATTAAATTGCAGGCTACAAGGCAATCAGGCAGCAGCTTGAAACAAGTTCTCACAACAATGCCAAAGCAGAAGGTTGTCTAGACTGATTGGTGATGGAAATGTTATCACGTACATTTTGAAATTGAAGGTACATACAAAACTAAACCATGTACATTCTAATTTTTAGGAGGTTGTTTCCCACTTAATGAAATTAACCTTGTACTTACAAACACGGGGTTTTGGTTTAGCAGATGGATTTCATAGATTGAATGCAACAAAAGCTGTTCTTACTGAGATGGAATCAGTGTATGTATTATGTAAATGAATCCTGTAAAATCTATAGAGCTAATTTGAGACAATGAGTTTAAATGAAGTTATTTTTATTATTATGCACATTTGTAGATATATTTTGTCAGTGAATGAAGTGATTGAAACCGGGACATATCAGGGAATGTCTTTGGTTTTTCATGGACCAAAGCCAAATGTTAAAGTGCAGAATTTGTTGGTCATACTTGTAGCTTCATTGGATAACAGATTTCTTTATGCTGACATTGTTGAAGCAACTCTTATTGGATCCTTTTTAAGTTGGCCAGAAAATGGATCAGACAGCATACCTGGTTAATTTCCTGTTGGCTCTTAGTTTATGTATTGTTATTAATTTATACTTACTTTTTTTAAGATGCTCATCCCAGTTTAGTTTTGGTTGATGTTCTTCATGTTCTATTTTAGTTTTAGATTATTATTATTACATGTCCAAATACTACCATCCATATACCTTTAGCAGATTGTGAAATTTATGCAAGACGAGTATGATTAATATAATAAATTTACTTTTTATTTATAATTTGGGAATAAAGAAGTGAGGTTCCTGGCAAATAAATTTGAAGCATACTTTGATTGTGATTTGGAGGAAATGCTTCAGGAATGGAGTCTATTGAAGGCAGTTATTTATGAGAGGTATATCGCAGACTTCTCTTTTATAAACTGAATCAAACAGTATATATTTTAACACAATCAAACAGTTTTCAACAAGGTTTTTTAAGGTTCCAAAGCAGGATTTCTTCTCTGACCTGGCCTATAGTTCAAACCAAGTTTGCTAATCATGGTCTTCAGAATGTGTGTTTGCTTGTGGACCTGATTCTTTGCTTTCCTCCAACATCTGTTGCCAATGAATGTACATTTTCAGCTATGAAACTCTGCAAAGGGGAAGGGCAGAGGTAGGATGAAAACTACCACAATTGACTTGTTGACCATTCAGCATCAGTCCAACCCTGTGAAGGAATTTGATCCTGACAAAGCAATTAAACTCTGGATGGTAAGTTAATTTTCTTTTTCAGAGATCTTATGATTTATCTTATAAATGTATATCAATTGCAATTGGTTATTAAAGAATTTTTTTATCTAGAAAACTCCATGTGGACAACGAAGACGCCTGAACTATAAAAGAGCTCCTGTGACAGCTCCATTTAATACAGATAATGCAGAACCCATTGATGTTGTGGAATCAAATGAGGAGACAGAGGAAGAACCACAAGTGCTTGATATCCTGAAGGTGGAAAATGAGGTACAGTTGCATAATTGCTTACAGCTATACTGTGACTGTGCTTGTAGTGTACACAGAGATATTTAAAACTTACAGTACATACTTTGTATCTGACACCTTTCTCTTGATACAGGTTGAAGAGGAAGGAGAGATTGAAACAGAGTGTGGCACAGACAGAAAATTATCCGACTTCAGTGACTCAGATTCTGACAGTGATGTTGATGTTGAATTAACAGAAATTGAAGTAGAGAGAGAACTGGAGAGAATACAATCAATAAAATAACTTTAATCAAACTTTTCTGTTAAGTTTTTTTTAGAGGGGGTATGTAAATTTTTGTTCGGGCTGGTAAGATTCATGGATACACCTGCATGTGTAGAAGAAAAAATTAGTGAAGACTGTAGAAGCCATACCCATGGGTACAAGAGAACTTCGTGTCCAGGGGAGGGGTGCCATGGATGCTCCAAGAATTTAAAGCACCATCCTTGGGAATACCACATTCCCAGATTTTTTCGGCATCGCCCTTGAAATGAGATAAATATTTCACCTGACTATCGAATGAGCAAAGTATTTCACCTTACTATTAGTCTGAGAGCCTGCTGTCTTCTCGCACTGGCCCAGTAAATTTTAGGTCCAGCAGCGACGGTTCAGGACTTGATAGACTATGTGAACAAGAAGATACCCTTGCCCCGGAAGTACCCCATCATGTAGAGGACACTGCATAAAGATGTTGCCAATCGACTCCTCAGCGGTACTTAGACATTAAGATTTTTACGGCAAAAGTGTGCTCTATGTCCCCAGATATGAGTTTAGAGCATGGGGCAAAGAAGACCTGGCAGAGTTGGAAATAAGGTTAAGGCAAAGAGGGCAAGTTTGCAGAGAGTTGACCAGGAGTTCATTGAGCAAGGCAAAGGTAAGACAGAAGATTGATTGTATGTTTAACGTCCCTCTCGAGAATATTTCATTCACATGGAGACACCACCACTTGTCGGTCTAGAGCTGCAAATTTTGTCCTATACTAGCCACTCAGTGCCATTGAGATTGAGGGATCTTCCTCGTGCCAGCACCTACTGCGACACGGAACCTTTTTTTACGGTCTCATCCGAAAGACCTGTTTCCACGTCCCACAGTGAGATTCAAACCCGCGACTTAGTATGAGACTGAAGTGAACGAACTGGCTGTTCTCAAAGATGGGTACGCAGTATCCGTCGCAGAGCAAAACAAGGTATATCGATGTAACTTGGTGAACTACATCTCGGATATGACTTTTAATCAGTCCAACCTTTTCCCATTGAAAAACGTCGATATTATATCCACTCCAGGATCATCATGTAGAGGTGCATTAGTGTACCCGTATTAGTTAAGGACATTCACCTGGGGACCGTTACGATAGTAGGCGACCACTTCCAATGCCAAGAAGACCTTGTGGACACACTCAACTTTTGAAGATTGTTGATTGATTGATTGTTCTTGTTTAACGCCGGATCGGCAATATTTCAGCCATATTTTGGCGGTGAAATTGTTTGAAAAGCTAATTCAGGTTTTTCTGGCGGCCCCCAGTGAGCCTACTCTTTTTCGAAAACCAGTAAAACGGTCTTTTACGTGCCAAGGGGTTTGTTATCCTCGACACGGGGAACTATTTAACGTCCCATCCGACGGACTTTAAATGTAAAAATATGTCAACAGATCAATTAATTAAGATAACGATATAAAAATGTATATCTAAATCTTACGATAAAAATCAGTTTCTTGTAAATATTGTAAAATTGTACTAGGACTTACATTTGTAAAAAGATCATGCATTGAGTGTACACCATTAAAACGCCTATTACGAACAGGCGAAAAATCGGAACATTCTAAAAGAATATGGTTAATAGTTATTGCACAGTCACAAGACATGCATTCCGGTTGTTGTTCCCTATTTAGCAAATATGAGTGAGTAAATTTTGAATGTCCAATACGTACCCTTGATATAATGACTTCGTCTTGGCGTTTCAAGCCAAAATCAGATGACTGGTTAACTTTGTTATGTATTGCATACAGTTTATTATTATCACAAAAATTCCAAAATATTTGCCAAAGTGAATTTACATAAGTTTTTATTAAAGATTTTAGATCATTGTAAGGAATTTTAAAGTGTACAGTGTCATACTGAAGTGCATTTTTTGCAGCACTATCAGCTTTCGTGTTTCCTGGGATACCAATATGACTTGGAATCCAACAAAAATCGAAAACTTTACCTTCTTTAATGAAGTGATAGTACTTGGTTAATATATCCAAAATATATGGGTGATCAATGTTCATATTGTTTATAGATTGTAAGCAAGAGAGCGAGTCTGAAAAAATTGTAAAATTATTACCACTGGATGATTTAATATATTCAAATGCAAGTTGTATTGCTTTCGCTTCAGCTGAAAAAATTGTTGCTTCATTAGGAAGTCGTGTAGAAAATACATAATTTTTAACCACTGCAGCGGCTGCAACCTTGTTTTTGTCTTTTGATCCATCTGTATAAATTTCTATTGTCGATTACGTCTTCGTCTTACGTCTTACGACTTCAAACAAAGTTTGAAATGTTTTATTTCGGCTAATTTCTGTTTGAAAACGATGGAATTTGTTTCTGATTTAGTGAATTCTGTTAAAGAAGTATTTACATCTGGTTTAATTAATTCCCATGGCGGTATTTCAGAATGAGTGGTAGTTTTAACAATATCCAATGGCAGTTCTGAATCTCTTAAGTGATTCTTATATCTTAAGCCAATTGACTTGATGCATTTTTTCTTTTTATTATATAATTCTTCGTGTTCGGATAGAATACACAGTCAAATGCAGGGTTATCGGTATTTGCTTTTAATTTAATTAAATATTGTAAAGTTCGTTTAATTCGTCTCAAGTCGAGAGGTGTGTCATTTACTTCAACATATAAACTATCTACAGGGGATGTTCGAAAAGCCCCTGAGCACAAGCGAAGGCCTTGATGGTGAAATGCGTAAAGCGCTTTTAAGTAAGAGGTCCTTGCTGATCCATACACAATACAACCATAGTCTAATTTTGATCTTACTAAAGAGCGATAAAGTTTCAAAAGAGTATTTCTGTCTGCCCCCATTTAGTGTTTGCAATAACTTTTAATTATATCCAGAGCCTTTGTACATTTTTCTTTAAACATTTTAATGTGTGGAATGAAAGATAACTTATCAAATATGACACCCAGAAATTTTATTTCCTTTAGAACTTTAATTCGTTCTCCGTCTAATTGCAGGTGAGGGTCGTCATGGGCTTTCCGTTTGGAACAGAAATGTACACATGCAGTTTTGTTTTTTGAAAATTTAAAACCATTCTAATCAGCCCAATTTTGAATTTTATTTAGACGCGCCTGTAATTTCCGCTCAATGAACTTCATATTTTTGGATTTGTAACAAAGGACAAAGTCATCAACATATAAACTACCAAGCATATCGGTTTGAAGTACTTCAGGTAAACTATTTATTTTAATACTAAACAATGTGACTGATAGGATACTTCCTTGTGGTACACCCATTTCTTGGTCAAAACTATTTGAGAATGTAGACCCTAACCGTACTTTAAAATTTCTATCATTTAAAAATTTTTGGATAAAAGTAGGTAAATTTCCTTTCAAACCGATATTAAAAAATCTTTCAAAATACCATATTTCCAAGTAGTATCGTAGGCTTTTTCCAAATCAAAAAATATAGATACGGCGTGCTCTTTCTTAATAAACGCAACTCGAATATATGTTTCCAGCCTAACTAAATGATCATTCGTACTTCGTTTTTTTCGGAAACCACATTGTATTTTGGTTAAAATATTGTTGTTTTCAAGAAACCATATGAGGCGTTCATTAATCATCCGCTCCATGGTCTTACATAAGCAGCTCGTTAAAGCAATAGGCCGGTAATTGTTTGGATCCGTGTGATCTTTTCCAGGTTTAGGGATAGGAATAATTGTTGCCTGCGTGAATGAAGGCGGAAAAAAAACCCTCTCCCAGATCGTATTAAAAATTTGCAGAAGACATTCTTTGCTACTCCTTGGTAGATGTTTAATTATTTGATAATGAATCTGGTCCGGTCCTACAGCTGTGTCATGTGATTTGTCTAGAGATTTTTGTAACTCATCGAAAGTAAATAATTCATTATAACATTCTTGTCCGATGTAAAATCTAATGCTTTCTTTTCTTGTGAATTTTTATATGTCGTAAACTTAGAGCTCATATTATTTGTCGAAGAATTTTTTGCAATTGTTTCAGCTATTTCATTAGTAATTTCTTTTTTATCTGTAATAATTCGATTTCCAACGTTCAGATGTTGATATTTTTGGCCGGAACCTTTTCCCTTTATTTTTCTTATCGCGTTCCATACCTATTCAACTTTGGAAGGAAGACGGCCTCAATCCAAACTGTCAGGAAATAAGCAGGACCACAATATTTCGGATGGCAGATGTTATTATTCCTGACAGAGGAGAGATGTTTAAAGTGTCTATTTGATTGAACTGTTTACTTTAATATGCAAGGAACATGAGGAATGCAGGGTAATTATCACTGAAAGTTTATGTACAGTATGATAGATTTTTTTCTCTCTATCTTCATTGCACAAGTGGCGTAGTGGTTAGAGCGTCTGCTCTAGAGTCGCGAAGTAAAGAGTCAATCCTTACGTCGCGGGATCGAATCCCACTGTGGGAGGTGGAGACCAGTCCTTCGGATGAGACCGTATAAACTGAGGTCCCGTGTCGCAGTAGGTGCTGGCACGAAAAAGATCCCTCACTGCTCAATGGCCCCGAGTGCCGAGTATAAGACAAAATTTGTAGCTCTCCACCGGCAAGTGGTGGCGTCTCCATATTAGTGAAAAATCCACGAGAGGGACGTTAAAACAACATACAATCAATCATTGCACAAGTACTTTTAATATTATTTGTACATGTTTCCATTCAGTTTACATTTATACTAGTAGTTAAACATGCACCGTACAGTTGGGCCAAGCTTAATTTTTTTGTGTTTGCAGTTACCGACCTGTAATTTTTAGACTGGGTAGGTACGTACAATTGTAGGCATTCTTTTCTTTTTTTTCTGGAAAAAAAAATTGTTTTCAGATTTTTGTTATAGATCACAAATAAGAGAGCTTTTCATAGGCCTACTGAACATGAATAAGCTCAACTCTTGTTATAAACCACTGATAGATAAAAATAAAAATTGAAAATGAAAGTTTTAATATCCTGAAAAATTGACTAAAATCAATAACTTACTAAAGGGCTAAAAAAAAGTTTGGGTCGGT